TTGTCTGCCCGACTTTCAAGTGCAGTGACAAAGACCTGCAGGCTAAGTACAGGCCTATCAGTTCGACTAACGTGGTCGTTAAGTTATTTGAAAAATTAGTAAGAGATGCAGTGGAGAACCATTTGAATAGATTTAAACTGCTTAGCGTCGAGCGACATGGTTTATGCAAAGGATTTTTGTGTCAAACGAACTTGCTGGTAGCTCGTGAGAGCTGAGATGAAGCCGTAGACAGTGGACATGAGGTGGAAGTGGTTTTCATTGACTTCGCCAAGGCCTTTGACACTGTCCCCCATTCGCGATTCTCACTGTAGTTGAGGTCTTATGGAATATCTGGTCGCGCACTTCAGTAGGTGTCAGCATTCCCAGATGGACGGGAACAGTGTATTCGTGTGGGAAGCAGTCTTTCGTTTCGACAAGCTGTCCGTAGCGGCGTTCCGCAAGACTCTGTCCTAGGTGAGTTGCTGTTCGCAGTCTACGTGAATGACTTGCAGGGGGAGCTTGAGGTACCATCACTCTTATTTGCTGATTACCTATAGCTCTGGAATATTGTTGATATCCCTGGGGCTCTTCAAAGGGCTCTGGATAGACGCTGGGAATGGTCTGTCATGTGATTGCTGCCCATAAACCGGGCAGTGTTCAGTGCTGCGTATTGGAGCGTTTGATTCCTCCACAATTTATACGCTCGATGGGAGTGTATCTCCTCCCGTGACTCAACAGGTTGATCTAGGTGTCATCCACTGTTCCTCCTTACACGCTGAAGATAACTGGAAGAATTCCGGATGTTGTGGTTTATCCTCCTTCCTTTTGTGAAGTTCTCTGCGTCCGTGCGACCCCACCTAGAATATTGCGTCCAGGCCAGTCCACCATGCCATGTCCAGGACAAAATGGCACCGGAAAGGGTGGTCCGTGCCGGTACAAGGTTGGTCGAAGAGTTACACACACACACACACACACACACACACACACACACACTATACACGTTAGCTAGAAGTGGGAAACACCTCAGATACTGTCGCAATACTTAAAGAAGGGAATAAAATGCTACAGGTGCAAGCCAGCTGAGTTACCGGTAACGGATGGGTATCGTTCCAGTAAGCTATCTGCCGGCTACTATGCAAAATTATAAAATGTTAAATAATGGGATCTTGGTTGGAGGGGGATGGGGTGGGACAAAGAAACTCACAGGTCGGCTCCTAGCTACGTCAAAAAGCGTCAACTAAGTGTATCCAGCCAAACGTGTTCATCGTCTTTCGGACCGCAATTAGGGAGCCGAGACGTTCTAACTGAGGCCAGCTTTGAAGTGAGGGCATTCGTTACTCTAGACCATGTCATCGCTTGGCCGCGCATCCACTACTTCCATCCCCACCCCCGGCGCGCAAACAACGAACGTCGCGGGAGTCGGTGGGCTGGCATGCCTAACATGTGGCCCAGCCATCGGAGTCTGGTGCGTGAAGTAACGGTGCTGAGCGGTTTAATTCCTTTTTCTGTGCCGTAAACAAGGCCTCGAACACGCTCCTTGCTCACGCGGTGTTTCCACCAGATGTGAGCTAAATTACGAAGGCACCGGTGGTCGAAAGTAACTAACCTCTTCAGGTCCGCTGATCTAAGGGGCCAGGTTTCACAACCGTACAGTAGTCGAACGTACAGCTGCACTGTACACTCTACTCTTCAGGGCGAGAGTGATATCGCGCCGGCGCCATAAGTGGCGAAGGTTAGCAAAAGCGCCTCGAGCTTTTGCTATACGGTTCGTGATCGCATCTTCAATGCCACGGGCGATAATACAACTTCCCAGGTAGTTGAATTTTTGAACGATTTCTAACTGGACAACACCAAAGGGTCAAGGGAGGGGGCGGTCTAGGCCAATCTTGGAGGAACGATTTGCATTTCGATGGTGCAAAGCAAAGCGGCTGACAGCCAGTGCTAATCTGTCCAGTGCCGCTTGGCACATCTGGGAGCTGGCACAGAATAGGGCAATATCGTCATCATACTCCAAGTCAAGAAGTCGTTCTCCTAGGAGCAGATCCACACCTAAGTCATGGCTTGGAAACGCGATTTTCATGACTTCGTCAATAGCGAATTTGAAGAGGAAAGGTGACAACTGGCATCCTTGTCTCACACCGCTGGAGATATTAAAAGGCGACGACAGCTTGCCGTAAGTCCTCACTCTGCCTGAGCTATGCGCGTATAATGCTCGGATAATATTTACATATTTCTCAGGTACACCTTTCCTGAGTAGACAGTTCCAAAGTGCATGTCTATCCACCGAATCGAAGGCACCTTTGATATCGAGGAACACGACAACATTGGGCCGCCAATGTGTGACAGTGCTACAACAACTGACGCAAAGGGAGGAGGTGGTCAATGCAGCCACCACCCCGACGAAACCCGGCTTGCTCCTCACGAATCTGGCTTTCACAAGTGGCAGTCAGTCTGTGAAGGACAGGGGAAAATAATTTGGAGGCGATGGAGATCAGACTGATGCCTCTATGGTTGCCGCATTCCGATCGTTAGTCTCCCTTGAAAAATGGAACTATGACGGAGCGGCTCCAGTCGGTTGGGACAGTTTCCTGCTCCCACAACTTCACCAGTAACTCGTATAAATCATCCACAAGAGCAGGTCCCCCGAATTTGAAGAGGGCTGGAGGTAGATCATCTGGTCCTGCGGCTTTACTCAAATTCAGCAGTCCGCTCTCACATTCGACTTCTGAGCGAGGGTGGATCCAAAGGGACAGCTCAGGGAGCGAGGCGATCAGTGGCCGGCGACAAATCTAACAATTCCGATCGATTAAGTTGTCTTTCAAAATGCTCTGCCCAACATTCCAAGGGTTTTGACAAGTTGTGCATAGGCTGTCCACTCTCGTCACGTATAGCTTCACCAACCTACGTCTTCTGCTGCCCGTTTCCCGTACCAGCCGGAATAACTTACGATGGTTATCAAGGGCAGCGGCTATTTCCATCTCTGATGCACCATGAGACCACCAGGATTCGCGGTCTCTTTTCAGGCTAGCACGGAATTTTGCCCAGAGATCTTTGCGAGTTTCATTGTGTTCGCTTTCATTAGGAATATGCCGACGAGTATCGATAAGTTCCAGAGACTGCGAAGAGATCCAATGTCCAGGTTGGCGATTAGACTTACCCCATGAGGATTTTCCTGCTGCTAGTAAGGACTGGTGAATATGAGACCAGTGAGCTTTAACTGCATCCAGTGAGTGCTTACTCAACTCGCATGACAGCGTACTTTGATAGGCATCCACAACAGGTGGTTTCGCCAGTTGGCTAGTGTCAAAGGTACCCCGAAGGCCTACTTAGGGTGTGCATTCAATGCCCTATCGAAGGATTAGATGGGACCTAATCCTAACCTACCGTATTCTGACTGGGAAGGTTAGATCTGATTTGTCCTGTCTATTTAGTTCTACTAGATTATCTGGTCTCCGCGGGCATTGTATGAAGCTGGACAAACGGCGGTCCGATCGAGTTAGAGTGGAGACACGGTTATCGCGTCGAGTGCTGAAACTCGCTTCCAGAAAAGTTGCTCAAGGAAGCTACGGGTAAGGGGTTTGAGCGTCAAATAGATGCTCTTGAGTGCCAACACGAAACCTTTCCTTTTTCCCGTCCAATTCCCATCTTCAGACTTCTATTCTATTTCCTGTACTTTCCCTCACCATTAGTAGTATCCGCTTCTTTTAACTGATTTCCCTTACTCTTTACCTTCGATTTGTCTTCCTCTTACTTCACGTAACTGGCAGAGGGACTGCTAATGCAAGGAACATGGACATTAAATTGGTGGACCAGGGGATTTTTTGGGTGTTTTTGTTTTAGATGCATCAAGAAGTCGGAGCACCCCTATCAACTCCTGGAGCAACGACCCGATCATGAAGGAACACTTACGGGATTCATCCTATCGTTTCAGTCCCACATGAACTTGAACATCTTGGAACACAAACGCTGAATACTTGCAGAGAAACAAGGCATGGTGTAGAGGAAATTATACGAAACATTCATGGTTGTACGTAGTGTGTGAATAAGATTGGTGTCAAAAGCTAGACAGGAAAATAATCACGATTTCCAGCCGAAGGTTTTGGTTCAAGAGCTTGACTGCAAGGCAACGGGAATCTGATGACGATCCGGTTTTAACAGATTTGTGCTGCCACAGTTATTGCCCTAAACTTGGAGGGTAGAGCCTGCGTTTGTTAAAGTAAGCATTGACCAATTTAGTGGAAGTGACACTTTAGAAACTGAGCAGGGCTAGTAATTGCGTAAGTCTTCACATCATGTTTAGTCACAAGTTAAACCGTGCGAAATACGTTATTCGGTTTTTGGTGGTAACATAACGGAGCGCTAAAATCATTGGGCCCACATACACTTCGTACTGACAAGATTATAAATCAAACAATAAATAGAGCACAGGATTTGTAGTTCACTTGATGAAACTTTAGGGGTGAGTACAGTGGCGGCGTTCATAACATAAAACGCGGATACTAACTGACGTTGAAGACGGTAAGCAGACGTTCAGATTAGCGACGCCTCCAAGTAGGTCGGTAAATTGGGCTATATTTCAGCTCTGACAGAAGCGCCAAGACATAACAAACTCGAATGCAGTTGGTCCATGTCTCCTCTAATGCGGTAAACCAGACGCGTTGTGCAAGCAAGAGCAAAGGACGATTAGTGCAAAAATGAATTATAATGGCTACGCGACATAAAAGGTGCAAAGGCACAAAATTCGTACAGATATATGGAGCCAGAGGGAGCAAAAAGACCTGACGACTAACAGACGCTGCTACTTAGTGACTATGGTTCGTCGCATGTCACGGAACCATATTCAGCGCGCAACCAGGAAATATTATGGACTCAGAATAAAGGGGATGAAACATATCGAGAAACTTGATAAGTAGATAAAAATTAAGGAGTACCAAAGTGTACTCCAAGCCACGATTTTTGCGCAATAACGCAGCCTATGCCATACAAGCGCGAAGAGAGCGGGACCAAGCGTTTTAACTTACCTTCGGATTCATAATGTTCAAACAGTAGGGATCCGAAGGAACGCAGCTTACCCCACAAGGAATCTGTGTCACCCTTATCAAGATGTGCATCATAAACGCGCGTGTGAAAGTCCGAAGAACCGCATGCTAGCAGAGAATTGTTTGGGTGCCAGTCAAGGCAAGTGACTGTGGACTTGAACTGCTTTTTTATACGCTTGCTGACCCACCAATCCGATTCTTGATCAAAAGTGCATACCGAAACAAGCTTGCATCCACTGCCAACAGCGAACCTGTCTTCGAGGGGGGACCATTTCACACAGATAGCAGCACGATCAATCTAAAAGACACATGAAATGAAAAGTTGCCTACCATTAGGACTACGAGTGTAGGTTTCCACTTCCCGTCCTCAGACTTCGTCCACACATACGCATTTCGATCGGTTGAGCAAGACACTATTTTATCAGTTTTGGGTGCCCAGTCCAAACCGGTGACAAGAGCAGAGTGCTCTTTCAAGACGTCAAGGAGCTGGAACTTCGAAGACGAAGAAGCGGGAACTCGAAGTAAATACACATCACTAGTATTGACGGATAAGGCTAACTGTGTGCTATCTCCATTAAAGGCATGGCTAACCAGAGCGTCGCTACCCAGAGCATGTACAGTCGCCATGGTGCAAAGAAACAGCAGCAAGAAAGTGGGAGCTGGAACTGTGCCCCCCGGTACAGCTGAATTGGATGGCCATGGGAGTGCGTCTGCAACAGAGGCGTAGCATAGGGTGGAGGGGGCGGTCCGCTCCGGCGACATGCGAGAGTGGGCGACACTTTAAGCACAGAAGAATTTCCAATACCAAGTGCAAACTCATCGAAATTACCTCCATGGCTGAAGGAATGTTGATAATCATTTTAAGGCCCAAGATAAAAGTGAAATCACAAACTTTAATCTCCGAGAATCAGTAAGCGAAGTTGAAAGCATGGATGTAGTTGAAGACGTTTGAAATGCTGGTGCAAAAGTGACACTGTAGTTAAAGTATTGGCAACGAGATCGTAACCTTGGTGTTTCAAAGTCACGCGTGCTTCTGCGTTTCACCGCTCGAGCTCTTTTTCATAAAAGCCTTGCTTGGGAACCGTATACGACTAACACTGCACAGAAATTTGGCATAGCTTACCGACTAGTATCCCAGGTTCCGCCCAACAATTGGTGACCCCCTGTCAGGAACACGCCGCCCGCCATTTTGCGTTTTCCTTCTGGTGAGCTCGTTCCATTGATTTTGTGATTCATTACTTGTGATCATATTGCTTTCTTACCTACCACAGTTTTATCTGCTTTTGCAATAATTAATCTAGGGGATAAGCCATCTCCACGCGTGGTTAACACCGTTCAGCCTGCCATGGTCAATTCAGTTGCATTGGCCCCTCCTTTTGGGGAGAATGATCCTTTACTATGGTTTTGCATTTAGAAGCCGTATTTTATATTCGTAAGATTTCTTCTAATTTCGCCATGTAGAACCAGCTAATATCTTGCCTTCCTTATAGTATATCCTCGCAGGTGAGAGACATCATACATTTCCTCCTCTAGTAATGAAATACGAGACTATTAAACAGACTATTATTCAGCGAATCATGCCTTCTGACAAGGTCTGTCTGCAACAACTATTTAGTGATCTGCAGCTGGGAGATAGGATGCCCTCAGCCTTGTTGCGCGAAATACAACAGCTCATCGGCACGTCCACCATGGACGTAGGGATTCTCCGCGAGCTGTGGATGCAACGCCTGCCTGCAAGCACTCAAGCTATCCTTGCAGTAGCAAGTGACTTGCCAATCACGACAATTGCAGATTTGCAGACCGCGTCATCGAACGGCACCAGCCAGAGGCGAAAACCGAAGCACACAAGCAGCCTTGTGCTGGCGCAACCACATCGACAGGCGCAACTTGCCCGCCGTCAGCAATAGACGCATTATCATTGCAGATAACGTCGCTTCAGCGCCAGCTCGAGGAACTCACCTTAAAACGTAAGCACCGCAACCGCTCTGGATCATCGCACCGTCGCACAAAACCTGACGCCTCAGGTTACTGCTTTTACCACTCGCGTTTCGGTAATAAAGCCCGTAAGTGCGTACAGCGGTGTAGCTACTCTGCTATACATGATCCGCCACACCGGGCTGTAATGGCCACGAACGTCGGCAAAGCTCAAAGTTGTCTCATCTACATTAGGGATTATGACTCCGATACCCAGTTCTTAGTTGATACGGGGGCGGAAGTCAGCGTCATTCCCCCTATGCCAGGTGAGCCTACCACTTCTTTGTCGACAAGCCTCAGTGCCGCCAATGGCACGCCAATAGCCACCTATAAATAAATAAATAAATAAATGGTATATTCTCTGTAAAACGAGACACACCTCAAAAGGCATGATCAAATATGCATACAAGCATAGCTTCTTTGGAATATTAAAACATTCGTTTCAATGAAAGGAATAAACGAAAAGATGCAGTCCATATGAGCGAGCATATTGTCAGGTAACGGTCAGATCAAGGACCATGATGGCGCTGTGGCGCGCAAAAACTGTTGCGTCAAGGTACAAGTGGGGGGTAAATGTGCCATGTAGTGATCCATGAGCCCAGGAGCCCAAACAAGGTTTAGAGCAATCAATGACCATTACGAAGCCGGGATGATCTGTACTCCACTAAAGCATTCTTCATAGTAAAAGCAGTTACACAGGTTGGATGTAGGAGGCTGAGGACTGCGTCAGTGTGAAATGTATAGCTGTGACTTTATTTTGTGGCGAGTCGCATCCGCCACGTTGCAGTGTTGTTAAGCGGACATTTGTGGCTTTTTATAGGGAGAACGCTTGCCAGGCGAAAACCCACCACGTCCTGGAACACTGTCGTAGCTTCCGTTGAACTGTATTGCTAGTCGGCTATGCATGGTATAGACCGATTTTGCACTCTATTATTCGCAGTCGGTTGACAGCCAAAGTTCTTCCTTCGTTGGCCGAATGGCTTAATAATGACCCGGCTGTGGTCGTTGAAGCCGGTCAACGGCGTAAAAGAGTCGCAGAGTCGAATGATATTGATGCAGGTGAGTAAACACATTGTTAATAGAGGCCGGCTTTTTCTATTATATTGTCCGGCTCGCAACCCATGTCCAGCTATCCATGCTGGACTTGTCATAGGGACGGTGAGTGCAGTTGTTTCTTGTGTCTGAATATGTCCATAACAGGAAAAATGCTATTCTCCGCAAAGTGGACTAGTACTTCCTTCAAATGTAAGTGTAATTGTCTCCATGACCAAGTGAGAACCCTATGAAAGATCATCGGAAAAGCCGCCTATACGCGCGCAATGCTGTCCGTGAAATGACATCAGAAAAGCTCCAGGTGACTTGAGAATCGGAATGTTTGAGGCAGTGAAGGTAATCACGCCAGAATTGTCTGTCTTCGGTTGTGGAACAGTGGATCCATGTAAATACATTATTCCAGGTGAGTAAATTGTTCTACTGTGAGTACGAGGCGAGCTAAACCCATTTGTTTAGACCCCGTGGTGGTAGCTTCTCCAGAACGGCGGAAAGAGCTCCATTTGGAACGACGTGTGGGTTCTTCATCTCCCGGAGAAAAGATCAAGCAAGTAAACCAGCTGGCTATTGAGGGTGGGTCAACCAGTCTCAGTGGATAAACCTTCTTGTTTTGGCGGATGTATCTGTGGAAATCTCGGGAGAAAACGGGCAACGGACAAGAGGCAACCAAACAGCAAGACAGCAATGAATCAAGAAGCACAAACACAGACTGGTGGCGTGCAACGGCGCCTATGTTACATTAAAACTTATGTAATTTTGTTTAGTAAACATGCTTTGCAAGCGCGTTCTTTACATCACGTCGCTGGTGTGACTCAGACTACAACTACTAGGTGAAAAGAAGGATCTGCACGCGCACGGTCAAGAGAGACGGATATAACAAAGCGTGTTGACAAAGTTAAGCGATTAATATGATTGTTGGAGAGTAACAGGTAAACCGATGATGATGACAGCAGTCCGATTGCGAGCGGCATCTTAGCTGAAACTAAGGACAACTAGGTTGAGACCGAATGCGGGAGCAATATAGGTAAAGCAACGTTCCAAGAAGAAAAGGAAATTTAACGAAACAGCTATGAGTGGAAGAATGCGGACGGCAGTGCGAAGATAAACTCGTGAGAGCAATTGGGAGACGATAGTCAGGTTGAAAAAGGTTTACTACTAAAGTGTGGTGAAGCCAAGGACGCTCTCGTGCGAAGTATGGATCGATCAGTTCTGGAAAATCACCGGTAATATCCCGGTAGTCTGAGAGAACTCTGAGAGCCGGAGACCGAACAGCCGAGACTTGAATAGTCCATATATCCTTAAGAATCGTAGTAGTCCAAGAGAATTTTGGAGAGCAGGGGACCGATCAGACGAGACTGGATTAGTCGACACATTGAGAGTAAGTCGAACAGTTAAGGTGGGAAGATAAATAAAGAGTCAGCGGCGACGGATAGGTTAGGAATGCAAGAGGCTACATGAATATAAGGTATGCAAGTCAGGCTGGCTCGCAATGTGAGAGAATTGTGTGTTCGTGATACAGAGCCTAAAACTACATTTCGCTAGTTAGGAAGCAGTCAAAGAGGATAAAAGGGCAGGGCTCTGAGAGCTCGCTATGCGGATGAAGAAGAAATAAAGACAGGCCGCGATAAGGAGAGGACAGAGTCGAGAGTTTACGTTTAGGGCTAAAAAATGCGACAGTTAACGTGGCTCTCGAGGTAATGGTGACAGAGCATTCAGTCTTCCGAGCATGGCAGGCAACGTCGCAGAAGTAGGAGAGAAGAAGAACGATCTGCCGAGGTTGGTCTTGGTCGGCGCATTGTGATTGAGTTCAATGGTTCATTTTGGAAGGTAAGTTGAGTCAGTAGGATTGGACTGGTCAGAGATAGAAGTGGTTATATCAACATAGGGCGAACAAGTTCAGCAGGATATCAAGGTGAGGGAGGAAGTGTTTTGGATTGACGGAGCCTAGACAGGTAACATCCCGGTAGTCTGGTAGCAGTCCCATAGAATTTGGCTGATCAGCTAAGGCTGAGTTACGGATGACAGAGACTCAATCGTCCGATTGAAGAATGATTGAATACGAACGGCGCTCAGTCATCTGAACGATGGCTAGTAATGTCACAGGAGTCTGAGAGAAGTTGGAAAGCAGGAGACCGATCAGTCGAGACAGGATTAGTCGGCGGAACGAGATTGAGTCCAACAGCTAATTTTTGGAGGACAAATGCGGTGGGTCGAGAGGTGGAGGTGCCTATATAAATAGAGGGTGAACAAGTCTAGCAGGCTGTCAACGTAAGTGCGACATAGCTTGAGTCTACAGAGTCTAGACCGTTTAAATGTTGCTGGTCTGGAAAAGGTCAAAGAAGCAGACCGGTCAGGTGAGACTAGGTTATTACAGGGCACTGAGAGTTGGCAGTCCGATTAGAGAAGGAATGAAAGGAGAGAGCGCCATAAGTAGGAGAGACGGTCCGGATAGAAAGAGGTTTACTTATAAGGTGTGAAAGTCCATGAGGCTCATGAGGTATTGGGGACAGAGCGTTCGGTCTTCCGAATAAATGCCGGTAACTTCACAACCGTCTGAGAAAACTCGGGGCGCAGGGGACCGATCAGACGAGACTAAATTAGTCGGCACACTTAGAGTAAGTTGTACAGTTGAGGTTGGAAGGTAAAGAAATAGTCGGCAGAGATAGACAGGTTAGGGATGG